TAGGCCCCTGGAGACCCCGCAAGACCCCGCGGCTACGCTCTGCTAAATAAAGTCTTGTGGACCTGGACTGGTTTACAGGGTCTGAGAGTGCCAAGCCAGTGGTGTGGTGTGGTGTAGAGGGCAGGGACTGCAGAAGCAAGAAACTGGAATAGCGAGATGGAGCCAGAGGCAGTGCCCAGCCACACGGACAAACACAGGGCACCAGAGCAGAACAAACAAACCTAAATGGTTCCCTGGTATCTGCTGCAAAGTTGTGCCCTGCCCTTTCATGGTCGTGCCTGTGCTGCCCAGATGGTGTGGCTGAGCCTCATAAAGATAACAGGACATTGCTTCCAGCCACAAAACACGTGTGTAGTAGACACCAAGGCCAATCTTCATCCACACCCGTTCCGGCAAAGGGTGAGGGCCACAAACTGCTACAGGGTGTCTTTGTGCAAATTAGAAAAAGGCCCAGCCTGAGCAAGAGCAAGATGCCATCTCTAAAACATAGCTGGGCGCCTATAGTCCCAGCTGCTTGGGAGGCTGAGGCAAGAGGATCACTGGAGCCCAAGAGTTTGAGGTTGCTGTGAGCTACGACACCAAGGGTGACAAAGTGAGAATCTATCTTGAAAAAAAAGAAGAAAAAGAAAAAGGGACCCCCTTCCTCTGGGCAGTGAGACCAGGCTGGGTGTCCGCTTACCCCTTCTGCATCCCCCCACGTCTGCATACTCCCCTGTCTCCTTGGGAGCCAGTAACATTGTTTTCTTCCTGCACCTTTGGCTCTAAACTAAGGCTGTTTCTAACCTAGTTAGTTTTTCATAGGATCTCAAGCCACTTAATGGAACTTTCTTCTTCCTCCCTGCTTCACTAGGGCTTGTGCAATCCACAGTGAGGGCCAAGGGGAAACTGAGGCACAAGAACCTAGGTGATACTTGGATACTTGGGTCCTCAACCTTCCATAGTAAGCCTAAAACTCAGAATCTGGTTTTTAGAACCCTTAAATTGAGTATGTTAGACCGAACAGCTCCTATGCTGTAAGTGGGGGTTATTTTCTTTTTTTTTTTTTTTTTTT